AGCAGGCCTGCCAGATGGTCTCCAATGTATGTTTGCTCTCTGAGATTCTGTGGGGCTGAAATATCCGTATATTCTTCCTGCTGTTGCTGAAGATTAAAGAGCTGATTAAACTCATTTCTGAGGAATTGGGATTTTAGGCTTTTTGGGGAAAAAAATCACTAAAAGGCCTGGTTCTAAGAAAGAGGGACAGACGAGTTGATTACTAAGGTCCTTTTAAACCGGGACATTTATGATCCTCCAGCTCTTTCTTTCCTTTGTTTTAATCAAAATACAGTTGGCATACAATATTAAATTAGTTTCAACATAGTGATTTGACATTTACATATCTGACAAAGTGATCATCCCGATATGTCTAGTAACCATCTGTCAAAAGTCATTATGATATTAATGACTATATTTCCTACGCTGTACATCATGTCCCCGGGACTTATTTAGTTTATATCTGGAGCTCTGTGCCTCTTAATGCCCTTCACCTTTGCCCCCACACCCTCACTTCCCTCCCCACTGGCAACCGTCAGTTCGCCTTTGTGTCTCTGAGTCTGTTTCTTTTTGTTTTATTTGTTTATTTGTTTTGTTTTTTTAATTTCACATATAAGTGAAACCTTACAGTATTTGTCTTTCTCTGTCTGACTTATACCATGCCAGCATAATACGTTCTAGGTCTGTCATGTCACAAATGGCAGTATTTTATAAGTGATTGTTCCACTACCTTCATACTCTGTTTTCCTTTACTAGTGAGATTTCTTTTCTTTCATATATTTTCTTTTACTTTTGGTCTTTCTTTTCCACTTAGAAAAGTCCCTTTAACATTTCTTGTAATGCGGTTTAGTGGTGATGAACTCCTTTAACTTTTGCTCGTCTAAGAAACTCTCCTTCAACTCTGAATAATAACTTTCCTGGATAGAGTATTCTTGGTTGTAGGTTTTTCCCCTTTAATTACTTTGAATATATCGCCACTTCCTTCTGTCCTGCAAATTTTCTGCTGATATATCAACTAATAGTTTCACAGGGATGCCCTTGTACTTAACTAGTTGTTTTACTCTTGCTGCTTCTAAGATTCTCTCATTATCTCTAACTTTTGACATTTTTAATTATTATGTGTCTGATGTGGATCTCTTTGGGTTTATCTTGTTTAGGACTCTATGATTCCTGGATTTGGATATCTGTTTCCTTCACCAAGTTAGGGAAGTTTTCAGCCACTATTTCTTCAAATAGACTTTCTGTCCTTTTCACTCTCTCTTTTTCTCTGGGATTCCTATAATGTGAATGTTAGTATGGTTAATGCTGTCCCAGAGATCCCTTAAACTATTCTCATTTTTTAATTTATTTTTTGCTGTTCTGAGTGAGTGATTACCACTACCATGTCTTCCAGATTGCTACTTGTTCTTTTACATCATCTAATTGATGTTGATTCTCTCTAGTGTATTTTTTAATTTCATTTATTATATTCCTCAATTCTAATTATATTTTCTATCTTCTCATTGGCATTCTTACTGTATTCATTCATTCTTCTTCTGAATTTGGTGAGTATTTTATGACTATTATTTTGAACCCTTTATTTGGTACACTGCTTATCTTCATGTTGTTTAGTTCCTTTTCTGGGGTTTTGTCATGTTCTTTTGCAGCATATTTCTCTGTCTCCTCATTTTGCTTAGCTCTCTTTGTTGTTTCTATGTATTTGACTGGTATGTCAGCTATGTCTTCTGGTATTGAAAGAGTGGGCTTAGGTAAAAGGTATCTTATGGGGCCCAGTTGTGCAATCATTTCTGTTCACCAGAGCCAGATGCTCCAAGGTTGTTCCCTGTATGGGGTTGTATGCACTTGTTTTGATTGGGTTGCAGATGCTGAAGACGTGTTGGTAAGCAGGACAGGCCTCCAAGCTGAATGCTGTGAAACTCTGTCGCAATTGTTTCTGATACATTGATGGACAGGGCTGGTCTCTGGCCCGGTTGTCAGCGAAGCCTGGGCATGACTATTATGGGTGCACTGAAGGGCAGGGCAGCTCCCTGGCCTGGCTAGCTGTGAGGCCAGGCTGAAATTTCTGTGGGTGTGCTGGTGTGCAGGTAAACCCCTAACATGGTTAGCTACAAGGCTCAACCTCAACTATTGTGGACATGCTAATGGGTGGGGGCTAGTCCTGTGGAATCAGAGTCTCTTTGTAGGGACACTTGTCCTAGACAAAGCTGTCCATTGGGTGTGGAAGGATGGAGTTGGGCTGCTTTGGAGGGGTTCCAGTGCCAGAAAAGGCTGCCAAACAGGTATAGCAGGGTGGGAGCTACTCTGGAGTGATGCTGGGTGGAGTAGGAAGATTGGGTGGGGTAGGATCTCAGGGGAACACTGGGGCTGGGTGAACCATATTAGAAAAGTTAATGCAAAGTGTTAGAAATGTTGCCTGCCACTCTAGGCCAGCTAGGAGTATAAAAAATAAGTAGTGTTTGCCAGTGCTTTTGTCCTCAGAGAAAGCTTGAACAGATTCTTGCCCCTCCAGCACTTGCCCTAAAATTAGCCAATGTATCTCCTTCATGTTTCACCCAGGAGTTTTTCAAACTGCTGCATCAATGCTGGAATTCCAAGTGAGTGAGTGTGTATATGAGCCTTTTAAGAGCAGAGTCCTGGTTCCCTAAAGCCCTTCAGCTCTCCTGGACATAAGCCCCACTGGTTTTCATAGCCAGATGTTATGGGGACTTCTCTTTCTGGTTTAGGTTCCCCCAGGTTGAGAAGCTCAATGTGAAGCTCAGATCCATCACTTAGGGGGAACCTCCATGTTGGTGAAATCCCTCCAACCTGTGGGAAGCCATACTGGGGGTGTGGGTCATGACTAGACGCTCCTATCCATTTCCATGTGACTTTTTCTCTAAATCCTTAGTCGTAGAAAATCTATTCTGCTAGTCTTTAGGTCATTCTCAAATATACAGGGTGTCCCAATAAATGTATGAACACTTTAACAGCTGATAGCTTAATTTTGAAAATGAAATGTGTTTTAATAAACACTGCCCTTATAATTACTTAAAGTGTATGTATACATTTTTGGGGGGAACACCCTATATTTGTTCTACATATAGCTGTAGTTTTGGTGTGTCCATGGGAGTAGATGAGCTCAAGATTTTCCTACCCCATGATCTTGACTCCCTCTTTTTCAGCTTTTTCTGAAGCTGGTTTAACACTGGGGATTGTGACTTTAATAAGTCCAGAGAACTTAGGGGAAAGGCAGCTTGTAGGAGAGAGGTGTAGCGAATTAAACATCTTTAGCCCATGACGAAATGGAAGGAAAGTGTCCTTCAGGGACCATGTACTATGGCAGGGTTCTGAGATGAGGTAAAAATAAAACTGCATGTTGCACTTTCTGTTTGCTGTAATGTTGCAGCCAGAATAGCCCTCTGAATACCACACCATGTGAAATATAAACTGGCTCCATCGGAGCTCATGTTCAGTGAGCCACAAGTAAGACTATGGCCCCACTATGTGCCAGGCATAGCACCAGACACATTNTCATGTTCAGTGAGCCACAAGTAAGCCTATGGCCCCACTATGTGCCAGGCATAGCGCCAGACACATTGCATTATTGTACCATTGAATCTTCACAGAAATTCTCAAGGTATTTGCATCCCCATTTTAAAGCTGAGAAAAATTCAGCTTCTGAGAGACAACGTTCCTTAACTAAGTAAGTATGACACCTGGGGGGGATGGGACACCTGTAATACTTTCAACAAAAAGATAACTTTTTTAAAAAAATTACCTGAATTTTGAATTAAGAGTGTTTCAGAAACTCCTCGATTTTAGAACCTAAGAGTATGTTAATGAGCCCAACTTCTTGGTTTTCTCAGTGAGAAAAAAAAAATGAGGTTGGAGAAAAGCAGGCGCCCTACACAGGTTCCTGTGTAGAAACAAAGGAAGTCATTGGAGTCTTGCAGAGTGATGCCCCAGCACCAGCTCAGCAGCTGTGAGTTCCATGCACACTGTGTTCCCAGCTGTGAGGGCGAACCATGCAGCAGGCAGGGTCAGGGAAAGGAAAGGAAGGCAAGAGGCCAGTGAGTTCCCCACCCACCCTTCTCTCCCCAGGGCCCCATTAGCACTGCAAATGCACAGACAAAAACCTGCCTCTAGACTGGATTTTCTAAGCTGCCGTGTAGATGGGTAGTCAGGGTTAGCTTCACATTCAGTGATCATATGCAGAGGGAAGAGGGAAAAGGCAGGAGGCTATCCAACTTTTATCCAGTGCTATCATGTCTCAAATAAATGTATTACTGACAGTTACACTCTCAACATTAAGAAATCTGTAGATTTTGGCGTCAGACCAGGGTTTGCTTCCAGATTGGTTGATTAGTAGCTACGGAAATGCTGAGCCTTGTTTCCGCATGTGCAAAGTGGAAGCAATTAGAAGTGAAAGCGTTTCTCACAGAAATGTTAGTATCTTTTCTCCACACCTGTTCCCTCTCTTTCCTGCCTTGGAGGGACAAGATCTACTTTTAGAATTACAAAAGGAAGAGCACTTGACCTTCTTGAATTAAGAGAAGAATTCTGGGTCCATGGTCAACTTTGTCCTTAGAACATCTTGCAGGCTTTGTCAGATTTGCTCCCTCCTCTTTTAATGATAAGATCATTGCAATGGCTACTCCTTGCTCATCTCTAGTTAGTGCCACAGTGTGGTGGTGACTACCAGGAGAAGGACCTGACGTAAACAAAGCCAGGAAATGGAAAGACTTCCACTTCAGTCCTAGTCTCTCTGTACCTAGACCTGTAAAACAGGCATGATCAACACTGCTCCATCTCAAAGTCAGTGCCCCGAGGTCTGGAATGAGATCAGAGTGGGAAAAGGCTCTTTAAAAATCCTCTTGGAAAGTAAAAATGTCACAAGACAATGACTCTCAAACCTACCAGCCCTCTGCATGGAGTTTTATCCGGTAGACCTTCCTGCCTCAGGAAAAATGATCTTGTTTTTTGACTTTCCATCTAAACAAAGTTACTGAGTGGTTTCCCTCGATCGTTTTCTTTGTGCTCAGATTACCTTCATGTCTCGGGTGTTCAGCTCTTCAAGGAGAAATGGGACAGCAACAAAGTGGATCACCACACCCACCAGTATGATAACAGCAAGCTAATTGTGCGCAGGGGACAGTCTTTCTACATCCAGATCGACTTCAATCGTCCATACAACCCGAGGAAAGATCTCTTCAGGGTGGAATATGTCATTGGTGAGTGCCATGTGCAAGCCCTAGTCATGGTAGTCCATTGATGTCATCAGGTCCTGTGAGTCATGACACTATAAGTCACCAAATAGAGGGTGGGTACAGGTTCAGTTGCATTATTTCCTAGAATCATACTTTAACAGCTGGCTGAAGTTGAATTACATTTAACCCCTGATGACCCTCTGCTTGGATGGGTCTGTATAATGTCAAACATCAATAGTTTGGGCTTGCCCAGGAAAAACTATGGTATAAGTAAAGGTAAGTACAATTGGCATAAATGTTAGTTATTTTTTCTGAATGGTTTTGGCATCCTATACCTGTGACTTTTACTTTATTCCTCTGCCCTTAGGATTTAATTGGTCTCATGTGCTGAAAATATTTGCAAACCTTAGTACATAATCTCCATTTAAGCATTTCCCAAAAGTTTCTTCTGCTTAACATAGTACCATGAAATGGCCCATGAAGAATGGATGGTCAAATAAAGTTCACTAAGCACTTTGTACCCTAATCTCCTCTTGTAAGTTGACAATGCACATTAGCTGTAATGGTTCTGGGAAGTACCATTTAACTTTGTTTGGTCCCATGTTTCTCTAATTAATGTGATCATGAAACCCTTTATTAAATTATAGCTATTAACCTTTGATGCATTTGATAAATATTTATCTAGGAATTTAAAAGAGTAGCAAGTAAACACATGCACAAAAAAGCAAGGATGGCTCAATATCAGGAAATCTGTCTATATAATCCTATACATAAATAAATTAAAAGAAAAAGCAGGCAATCAAATCAATGGTCACTAAAAAAAAAATAATTAAATTCAACAGTTGATTTTAGAAAATCTTTAAATAAAACAAAATAGAGGAAATTTCCTCAATTATACTAAAGATTATTTACCTCAAACCAATAACTTTTGGTATCCTAAGTGGCAAAAAGTTAATAATTTTAATAATGTTCATAAATTAGAGATGCCTGCTATCACCGTTTCTTTTTTTTAAAGCATTGCTCTAAAGGTTTTAGCAAATGAACAATATATAAGAAGTGTCTACTATAAACACTAGAGAATAAGAGACAGAAATTATACTTTATTAATGCAGTGATTGTGCATATAGAAAAACCAACAGATTAAAGGGAAAAAGCACAGAATTAATAAAACTATTTTAGATGGCTAGATAGAAGTAAATTGCTTTTCTCTACCACTAAAGACATAGGAAAAAAAAGTTATGAAATGTAGAGAGGAATTTTATAAAACACAATCTATGTAAAGAAGCTATAAAATCTTAATAAAAGACATGAGAAACCAATAAAAAGGTAAATATGTTCTTGGATTTGAAGTCTCAACATATTTTTTAAAATGGCCTCCCAAGACTAAAATGTAAATTTAATTCATTTCCAATTAGAATCCCAATGGAAGATTTGTTTTTGTTTTGTTTTTTTGACTGGTAATATAACAATTGCTTTGAGAGAATAATTACCTGTCAATAACCAAGAAGATTACACAAAGAAATAATAAGTAAAAAACATTTTCTATCAGAAGCATCTGTAAGGGTATACAATAAAAATTATTTAGTAGAGCAGAGAATCCAGAAATGGATTTCAGTATAGAAGATTGCTTAAAGCAGTTGTTTAATGGAGTAAGAAAAATATGTGGATTTTTTATCTGTTTGTTGTTATTTTAAAAAATTAAATGATATGGAAATAACTAGCATTTTGTATTTTGATATTTTAATATACATATAAATATATATTATATATATGTAACATATAATATATATGTATGTATATTTGTTATAGACATACCCTAATACCACAAATGACCATATGTATGAACAAATGACCAAAATATAAATATATAACTAAAAATACTATAAATAAAGTCAATGGACAAAATAGGTACTGAAAAAATTCAAAATATACATAGAAATAAAAGGTTAACATAGAAAGCAAAAGAACTTTTACGAATTGGTAATATAAAGACAAGCAATAGAAAAGTATGTAAAGTATATGAAGAGACATTTCACAAAAGAAAAAATCCAAATGGCCTATAATCATATTAAAATGTGCTCAGATTCACTAGTACAGTTGGAAAGCAGATCAAAGTATTATCTACCAGACTCACAAAAATTTAGAAAAGACTATACTATCTGTAATATCTGCTGGCATGTATGTAGAGAAAAGCATATATTACGGACATAAATGTATAATTTTATAACCTTTTTAGAAAGCAATTTGCCATATCTATTAATATTAAAAAGGCCCAGCAATTCCAGTCTGAGGAACTAATATCAAACATATTGAAAATACATTTTATAAAGGTGGGCATTATTTACTGCAGCATTGTTCATAGTGACAAAAGAAAAAACCAACCTAAAGACAAATGTTTCTCAATGGTTAAATGATTAAAAATATTGTGATATATTCAAGTAATGGATTGTCACTTTTAAAAAAGAATAAATTAGATCTATGCCCGAGGCCTTCCGGAGAGGCAGGGAGTGAGAAAACAAAGCGTGGGAGAGTGAGCGTGAGGTCCCCTGGTGCGGGTGACTGTGCGTGTGCCCAGATCTGGACAGCACCGAGCGCAGGAAAGGACAGGCAACTCGCACGTGTTGGCCTGAGCGCCCTGGTGGGACTGCAGCCAAAGCGGGGGGAGCAAAAGGAAGGGGAACCAGGCGAGAGAGGGGTAAAAAGAAAGAAAGACAGGACTATTTGGAGGCATCTATGGAAAATTATTGATCTCTGTGGGAGTTTATGTAAAGGGATTTAAAATCAACGAAAACAAAAAATCCTTTCCTAGAAAAAATTGTGACCCTCACTACTTGAGAAATAAGGTTTGTGCTTGTTTGCATTTACCATGCAAATGTGTATATTAATGTGGGAAAATAGGTTGAAGCCAGAGTAGAAGGGGGAGGGGAGGAAAGAGAATCCTGGGTCCGAATAAACAGAGTCAGTGTGATGCCTGGGTCCTGGGCATTTGTGTGTTGTCCCAGGTGTGCAGGAAGAGGGGGAAACTAAATTACCGCTCGTGTTAGGGAAAATGAAATAACCACAATGCAATCACACTGAGGGAGCAGACCATTGCTGTTAATATTTTTTAACAATGGGCACTTTAGTTGAGAAAGGAGTTCACAGCAAGTATTTCTAACAATATTTTAAAACCTGATGAAAGTTTATTTTTATTTCTTTCCCTAAATTTATTTATCTGCTCTTTTGTGCGTTTGTGCATGAGCTTGTTTGGACGAAATTTGATTAAAATGCCCTTGACACATTTATAATGGAGCGATCGCTTCACAAATGTCAAGAAATATCCCTTTGAAACTCTGTCCACAGTTTTGCTCCGACTTTCAGTGATTTTTTTTCTCTGCCTTTAGCCAAATGATTAGGGCAGTGAGAACAGGGCCGGGAGCTTTGCCCCTGAGTTGGACTTGTCTGAGTCTGAGGCCTCTCTCACTGACCACTTGGAAAATGAGTATAATAGCGGAGGTCCTGGAGTGAAGGGCAAGGTGAGTGCCTTAGGTGTGTGCAGAAAGCCCCTTGGGGGTGCTCTGGGGATGGGCCTCTGTGAGGGAGTCAGTGTTGGCCCCAGGGATGGGGGGCCGGGCCTGGGCTGGATCTGCAGGATTGTCCAGTCTTGTGGCGAGGGTGTGGGCCCTTTATACGGTAGCAAGGAGCAGGCTTTGGCTCCAAGCTCCCCCTGACAATGACTGTAGCTGGCTCTCCCTGGCTGAGGGCAAACCCCTGAAAGCAGCTCACTGCGACCTGGGACACCAGCACTCCCGGCATCAGGGCCATGGGTGCCTCCCTCCTAAAGCCGCAGGGCAGGGCCCTGCACACAGCACCCACGGTGAGCACCCGAAGCCCTCTTTTCTACAACCTCTATCACTTTTGTTCCTTTAGTAAAAAGGTGGGGGAACGGGAGCACAGCAAATTTGACTTTGAGATAAAAATTTATATATTTTAAAAACCAACATGTATTTTAAACTCTTCTTAGATACCATAAAGTGTACTTTCAGAGTTAAGCTGTATTCCAATATGTATGTCCTGTTACGGGACGGCTGCAGTGTCGCTTAGCGTCGTCAATAGGTTCTTGGAAATTGCCACTTTAAGCAAAATGACAGAGATGAAACCCATTTTATCACAGGCTGATGGATATAAACAAGAGTTAAGCTCCTAAGGCATGTTTCTAGTCACACAAAAAATCACCAAACTTCTAAATAAAGACCCAAAGCACTTCCAATATTAAACATTGAAATAAGTGTTAATTATACATACATCTAAGAAAAATGAGTTAAACCAGTAAGATCATTATTTTCCAATCCCCTGATTCCAGTTCAGGGTGACCGGTGTCCAGAGCCTCTCCTGGCAGCTCAGCGCACAAGGTAGGGCTCAGCCTGGGCAGGCTCGGCAGGCCTGTGCTCACAGACACACACACACTCAGACTGGGGCAACGTGGACGCCCATTCACCTCGTGCAGTCTCTGGGATGTGGGAGGAAATCGGATCAGAGTCCCCGTAGAAAACCCACGCAGACGAGGGGGGGTGTGTACTGTCCACAGGCAGTGACCCCAGCTGGGGATCGGTTTTTTCCTTCTTAACATTGTAACAAAAGGTCATGATCTGAGGACCTGCTGTATATTTGAGGACTTTCCATTTCCAAATTTATTATAGAAACAAGAAAAGGAAAATGACAAAAGTCCACATTCTATGCTTTAGGGTCTGAGAAATCAAGCACATTTCTCAAGGCCTTAGAGGAGCAGGGTTTACCCCAATCAGCTTCTTTCCTGCATCTCACCCATGCGGGGAGCCTCACAGCCCAGGCCTCAAGCTTCAGTAGGGCTAAGACCGAGAAAAGGAGCAGTGTTGGACGCTCATCGGGGCTCAGAAGTAATTCTCTTAAAATACAGTGCTTATTTCAGTAGGGTTGAATAAAGCCTTGGGAATTCGATTTTAAAAGTAACTGAGAATCAGACGCCAGTGTCGAATCTGAACTGAAAAGGAAATTAAGAGTAAAAG